ATTTAAACATAAAAACAGCATTTTAATAACAACTAAAGGAGACATACACACTTTATTATGGTATAGTTTTTAAATGTATGCCTGAGAAACACATAATATTGCCCCTTTAACATTCTGTGGACACGGGTCACACAACCTCACTTTCATCACAGGCTTTGACATGTTAAGCCGTTCATCATTTTTGACGGATTAGACTGAGAGCACAACATATCAGAACAATGTCTAATTCACAGCAGCAACATTCACGTGCAGACCATGTAGCTTCTTCTATGAACTATTACGCAACAAACAAATGTGTTGGCACATCCCATTTTTATTTTTTTTCTGGAAAGTTGACAAACAAAAGAATGGATGTTACACAAAGCGAGTACTGATGAAGATTATCTGTCAGCATCACTTGACAACAGGAAGCAATCAAGTGGCAGACTGGAAGTATTTCTCTTCGTACTTCAAAGATGGTTTGGATGGTGATTAACCTCCAGCGTCATGGTCTGTTTTTCTACTTTCCAATGAAAAAATCAACTTAAGCTTTTAAATATTTGAAGCCCTAACTCATGAAGGCAATAAGCAATTCTCTCAAATGATTTGCCAAAGCTCCAAACAAACATGAAAAAAGGGCTGCAGGCCAGCTTCAGGCAAGATCTACTCAAATTGCACATGAAGTGCAATTTGTAACTTAATGGACTATGTCATTAGAGGAAACCTTTATTCACCAACATTTGGAACAATTTAACTGGTCATTACTTTATGCCACAGCAATGACAACAGTAAATAAATATAAAAAGCAATGGTTTTACATTCTAYGATTTATCAGTTCTGTAGTAAATGTTTGTTTGTAGCAGGAATCACAGCACAGCTCACAAGATGATATGTATTGCCAAAAGTATTTGCTCACCCATCCAAATGAATGTGCACCAGTGCACAAAGCAAGGTCCATAAAGACATGGATKCAGAGTCTGTGGATGAACCTGACTGGCCTGCACAGAGTCCTGACCTCAACCTGATAAAACACCTTAAATTAGAGCGGAGACTGAGAGCCAGGCCTTCTGTCCAACRTCAGCATGTGACCTCACAAATACGCTTCTGGAAGAATGGTCAAAAATCCCCATAAACCCACTCCTAGACCTTGTGGACGGCCTTCCCAGAAGAGTTGAAGCTATTCTAGCTGCAAAGGGTGGACCAACGTCATTTGGAACCCTATGGATTAGGAATCAGATGTCACTTMAGCTCATATGAGTCAAGGCAGGTGAGCAAATACTTTTGGCAATATAGTGTGTCGGAAACCTTGTAACAATTATTACTTTTTTTTCTGAAAGCAAAAGCTACAACAGCTAACAACTAATACAAATGGAACTCACCGAATGTTACTTATAAATGTTTGTAATCTCCCACAGTTATCTTTGTTTTCACTGCCTCCTGACACACTCTCACTGTTACAGTCTGATTTTGTTTGACTGACTTTTAGATCTAATGTACCACAATAAGGCTCCCCTTATCAATGGCTTATAAATACTTTATAGATAGTTTATTAATTAATCTGTAAACACATTATAAATCATTAATATATGTGTAAGTGTAAAATTGAACACTAATATGGCTCCCTTTATGACATTTATACACATTTATTAGTCATTTATTAACAGTGTGCCTACTGTCTTACACTTTACAATAAGGCTTCCTTTGATAATTGTGCGTATGTATAATGCAGTAATACAGTACAGTATTATGTGTAAAATATGTTTCCAAATCATTATTGAGCTTACAAGGTAGTCTGAAATGTTTATAGCACCTTTAGATGTAATATGTACAAGAACAAATTTGGTTCACTACTTGGCAAGAAACCGGACCGTTTTGGCTCTCTCATCCTTAATTAATGCATAATAAGCACTTATTAATGATTTATAATGTGCTTACAGATGAATTAATCTATCTATAAGGGGAGTCTTATTGTAAAGTGGCACCCTAATGTCAATAACATTAACTTTAATGTTGCCTCAACAATAGTAAAAYGCAATCATTATGAAAGCCTGCAGATAACTGGCAAGTTTTTTTACTCAGGCTAAATTATTCTGTTGCAAACATCTCAACCCCTAGACYACGTAACATCCCCTACTTGTGTTCCACTCGCAGGTAAAGGCATTTCAAGCTACGCTAACACACCAGAGAAGGCAGGAGAGTCACTGAATGAGTGCATGCAAGAATCTGTGAAGCAGGTCCCCAAAGAAAGACAYCATGAGACCCCTCTCTATCTGGGAGCTACAGCTGGAATGCGGTTGCTGAAGTACGCYGCACGTGCCAACACATTTCCATTACGAAACAAAAACATTTATGTTACAGTACATGCACAAAAAATAGGTACACTACAGAGACAACGTTCACGGTCACGCAGAGATGTTAACGCCTAATAAGGTACTGACTTTGTGGTACAGTGGAACACAGAAATTASCTTGTTCCTGTCTTGCACAAGCAACAGAATGAAAAGTTTTTCTTTCTTCAGCATCATTTCTGCATTTAGACTTCCTTGTCCATTAGAGCCTTCATGGCTTTGCTGTTATTCACCAGTTAGATGTTAAAATTTACATTTCTTGACACGTCAAGTTAACACTATGTTTTGACTTGTTTCAATTTCTTACAAAGTTATTCTTGAAAAAAAATGTTGCAATCCGATGTCCTGGTATTTGGTTTTCAATGAGCAACATTGTATTTCGCTCTTAAAACTCGTTTTTGGTAAGATTCTTGTTCTCAGACCTGAATTGAAACAGTTCTCTGGTAATCAAGCTACAGGATGAAGCAAACTTCTCCTGAGGGACAAAAAAAATATTTCTTCACATGTGAACACTGCTGTGATCTGAATTCTGCAGTTGTGTTTGCACTAGAGCTCAGATCGAGCTATTTGCCTTTTTAATTTTGTAAACGTGATTTATGGTCATACAAACTTTGATTTGATTTGATTTGATTTATTGRTTCAACAGGAAACAGGAAAAGATTTCTAAAAATCAAGCCTGRCTCAGCATAATTGCTGTTTTACAGCAGGTTCCTGTTCTGCAGCACATAAAACACTCAGAAATACAGCATCACAATCACATCATTATACACCATAGACACAAAGACAAACAAGCATACCAAGTTTAGCCCCAGGGCGATGAATGTATTACTGTCAAAGCCATTTTAAACAAAACAGTCTATTATTTACGTGCTACTGTCCTGACTTGAATTATGTATGACTCACTCTATTGAATTAGCGCCACTGTATTTGTGTGTTCAGTTTGGAGAACAGTTTGGCATCAGACAAAGTRTTCCAGGCTGTGGAGAAAGCCCTGCAGGGGTTCCCCTTTTCCTTTCAGGGGGCGAGAATACTCAGCGGGCAGGAGGAGGGTGCCTTCGGCTGGGTCACGGTCAACTACTTGGATGATCGTCTAAAACAGGTTTGTTTGAACAAATCTAATTACAGGCCTGTGCACTTTTGTTCACTTTGAAATTGTTTTGGTGTCAGGGTGCTACTGTACAATGACGCCATTGCCTTTGTGTTTTTGCTGCAGGGTCTGGAAACAACGGGTGCTCTTGACCTTGGCGGGGCCTCGACTCAAATTAGTTTCGTGTCCGACAATTACGACATTTCAGAGTCACCCAGCAACTCTGTGACCTTCCGACTCTACGGAAACGACTACAACCTGTACACTCACAGCTTCCTGTGCTATGGGAAAGACCAAGCGCTGCTTATGGCATTAGCTCACCAGACCAAGGTAAATTTCCTCACTTTTCAATGATAAGTGGCAGAGATTTGTGCTTTAATCGACTTTAGAACAACACAATGAATCCAACGTGTTTTCTCTCRCTCACTCTCACTTCCAGTCAGGTCCAAAAACAATTGTGGATCCTTGTTTCCATCCAGGCTACTTGGAGCAAAAGCAGTACTCAGTCCTTTATGACAGCCCCTGTGTGTCAGCAAGGAAACCCCAGAATCCCACAACAACTTTCAGTCACACGGGGGCAGGAAACTTCACACAATGCCAGGACGTTGTCAAAAAAGTCTTTAACTTTACCTCTTGCCAGTACAGCCGATGCTCTTTCAATGATGTCTTCCAGCCACCTTTGCAAGGAACATATGGGGTAAAAAAAGTACAGAATTTTTTTAGCAGTGTACAATACCCGGGAAGTTGTTTAGTTATAAAAAGTGCAGAACTAATATAGTAATTAAATTCAGTTTTATTTAGATGACCACCAGGAAAAAAAAGGTTTTCTTTGGAATGACCTGGAGTAGAAGCAACTTGAATTTTAAAACTTTACTGACAATATAATAAAACCAAAATATTATTCAGATGATCTTTATTTATTTTTACTACACTAAGCTTGTAAAATCTTGTACATTACAGTAGCAGTCAGAAATACCAGCCTTATGCATCAAAAACGAGAAGTGACTGTTTATAACAAGACTGCTTAGTTTCTTTACAGATTTCAGCTTGTTTCCTTATCCCCATCCCTTTCCTCTTCCTCTTTCATTGCAGGCTTTTTCTGCTTATTACTTTGTGATGGACTTCCTCAATCTGACTGATGCATCCACGCCTTTAGAGACTGTGAAGCAAAAGCTAGCGAGCTACTGCGCTACRCCTTGGAATCAGGTTGGATCTAGGCATTAGTCACACACAAGAAAAATAATAAGGCAGCATTCATCCATTTACATGTCTTATCAGTGCCTTCCAGCTTTGCTTTTACAGAACACTGATGATGTCACTGCCTTTGAATTGCTTGAGCAGATAGTGCAGCAGCACCCGACGATAAAAGTCAAATATCTGTCGGAGTATTGCTTCTCTGGCACGTACATCGTCACTCTGCTGACAGAAGGATACAACTTCACCTCGGAGAGCTACGCCAACATAAACTTCATTAAGGAGGCAAGTAGATCAGCATCCATGTTTTCCTGTCTCATGCAATCACGAGGTTAGTGCATGGACTTTTCAATGATAATGTAATTATTTGGATGGCTGTTAGCAAAATATATCATAAACCAGTGGACAGATTTTACTGAAGCACCCAGAAAATAAACATTATACATCTACAACTGAGTCAACCTGATAATCAGTCTTAGTAAATGCATATGAACAGTGGCGGATCTAGGATTTTTCTGAGTAAGGGGCCATCAAGGGGCCACTATATTTATAGAGGGGCAAAGTATTTGTTCAACCTTCTTTCACACAAGTCCAGAGTTTTGGTAAGGTGTTCATGTTTAACCAGTCACACGTTCAAACACCTGTATTGTAATATAAATTTAAAAAAAAAGCTTGCAAAATAAATTCTCTTTACCAGTTTCGCATACATTTTTACTAGATAAAATACTTTCAAACACAGAACATTTGAGAAAATCTAGTCACTTGTCASTTGAAAGACTTTCTGCAGGATTGTTCTGATTTTCTTAAGAGAAGAATCTGTAAGTTTGATTCATGCTGGTCTTTCCTATTTGACTCTTTAGCACCTCTAGTGTTTGGACATGGAACTGCATCTGCCATCATAGCTCTTGGGCAAAGGACAGACGAGTGACAGGACAGGGGCACTTCAGGGCGCCAATCAGGTTTCAGCTGGGGCCAATGCCCTGTGGCCCCGCCCCTAGAACCGCCCCTGCAAACTGTTATCACAGCTTCAGTCTTTTGCTGTTTCTTTGCATAAAAAGGCTTTGTGGTAAAATGGAAGCCATGTGTTCTGAGATGTCATCACAGATGTCCAAGTACCTTTCTCKGCTTCACATCAGTTTTGGTGTGGAAAATATTTTCATTCTTGTGACATAACAGTTCTTTCAAAGACTGAAATTTTGCATCTGTGCGTCCTTTGATCACTTTACTTCAAGGCTTATGCCTCCCACTGACAACAAACTCTGTTTTGTAAATACAAAACAGAAAAAGGTTCTGTGAAATGTGTTTTTTTAAACCCGTTTTTTCCGTTTTCCAGATAAAAGGCAGCGACGCCGGCTGGACTCTGGGCTACATGTTGAACCTGACCAACATGATTCCAGCTGAGGCGCCGGACCTGCCTCCACTTCCTCACGCCGGCTACGTCTCCGTAGTCACCATCACTGCGTTACTACTCTTCGTCCTCGTCATCCTCAGCCTGTTTTGTTTCTGTCCCGGTTTCAAAAAGCAACCGCACATCGTATAAGCGCACAGCTGTGTCTGTCTGTGTGAGGGAGGTGAAGTCTGTGAAGGWTTGTGTGTGGTATGTGCCCCCCCCCCCCCAATGTACAGGTCAAAGGTCAACTCAAACGGGCAAACACAAACCTGCAGCTCATACTGTTTTCAGGGAGTTTTTTAGAAGAACAAACGCATTTACTCACTGTGGACTGGCTTCTCTGAAGGATATTTGAATGCTTGAACCGGTGTGTGTGTGTACAAATGTGTGAATGTGTTGAAATCTATATGGTATCTGTTTTGAAATAAGTCACTGTATAAATAAACTTACCAATGTTTGTATAAATTTTTCAGCTTGGTTGCTTGCGCTTTATTCCCCYTTCTGAAAACTGGTGCACACGTTTTTTTTAACCTAGAAAGTTTATTAGATTTTATGAAAACCACAATTTTTTTTAAGTCTTCCCCTTATTAAAGCCCTTAAATCAGGAAAATGACAATGGAAGTACATTAATCCTGTCCCTGGAAGCATCCCTTATTGATTTTTGCTACATGTAGCAACATGCAGGCATAAAACATCCACTGTAAGTGTACATTCAGTTCAGAGCTGCCTCACGCTGGACCATCTTTAACGAAAAATACCACAGGCTAAAACACTGCTTCCATACCCTGTATGTCACAATGATATACATGCAGCAGAAGAGTTATCTCCCTGTGCCGTCTCAGTGCTTCCCTCTAGTGGAAAGTATCKCACACTGCAGTTTATGTCCCTCATTGACACTGTACTTCTACATGCCWTCAGGATCTAAAGGATAATCAGTGTCTGTAAAAATCCAGGAAGAAAAACATKCATCTGTTTACCATCTTTTTTTATCTTTCTTAAAGTTTGCCTACGGCTAACACGTGACAAGCCCGATCCTCCCCCGGGCTCTGTTGGCTTTACTGCTTCCAAGAAGGCAAATTCTCTATGCAAATACAGTACCACAGATACACACTGTCCCAAGAAGGAAAGCAACATCTTACTGAGCAAACTGTGCAGTTTGGGAGTTCCAGCTTTACCCACAAGTGGAAACTTTGTTGGGTTTCTCTTCGTTTCAAGGGGCCATGCCCTTTCCCCTCTGCCAAAGATTTATATCTGCAATGAATCAAGCAGCAGGAGACAAAAAACAAAAAAACAATGCTGAACTAATAAACTGTGGGTGGTTCCTGCTTCAACGCCACATATCTGGGTTGGTGTTGGCAGAAAAGAGATGTTTTTAAGAGACTCAGCAGCAGGAAAAGTTAATATATCACTTCCCTAAAAACAGTTTACACCAGACCACCCTCCCTAAAAGCCCTGATAAGTGTTATCTCAAGTTTCCATTAACAGCAGCTCCCGAGGCTGGAGTGTAAGGCACCGACGTGTTGTTCTGCCGCAGATTGTCCGCCTGTTCCGACACCGAGGAGATGGCTGGAAGTTGATCTAAAGTCATGTGATCCGGGATGTCAGTCATCTGCTCGTTCAAGTGGTCCCGGTCGATGATGTTGGTGGTCTCAGAGTCCAGCTCGCGGACGTTTTCTTGGTAAAACTTCTGTCTCAGGAGTTTCATCTGGGGCAGCTCACAGCACGTCTCCATCACCACCAGGATCCACACCAGGCCCAGCAACAAATAGACTGAGAGAGAGCAAACACACAAACACAATGACAGTAAAGAAACTAAAGGCGGTGGAGTGTGACTCATCAGATCAAGGTTTGGCCTTACAAATAAAGGGTGTATTAAGTACACATCACTGCTTTTTAGACCGGAGAATAGCAGTAACAGTAATTTCTAACTAGAGAATTTGCATTTCCTGAAACGATGCAGTGTGAATGCTTAATGCTGAAAGTTTTTTTCTCTGAATATCTAAAAAAACAGCAGAAACTAGACTAATAATGGCTAAAAATGTAGTGGAAATAGCTGAAATTAGCACAAAGAAACAGAGCACACGTTTGATGAATTAAGCTGTAAAAAGCTGAAATAATCACAAAAAGGTGAATCTAGCAGAAAAATCAAATTAGCTAAAAGTAGCTAAAAATACAGAAAACAGCCAAAAGAAGCATAAAAATGTTGAAATTAGCAGAAGAATAGCTGAAAATGTCAAAATGAKAGCTAAAAAKCTGAAATTAGCAAAATAGAAGCCAAAAGGAAGCTGAAAATATTTCAAAGAAACAAAATAAAACAGCAGAACTAGAACAAAAGGTAAAAAGTGCAGTTCAAATTTTGAAGGTTTTTAGGAATGAAAGGCGGCTCCATTCATTTTTAACAAGGAAAAACGTGTCAGAAGAAGATATTTGTCAAAAAGTGTAAATTGCTGAAACACCAGAAGTCATAGTAGGAATGTCATGAAAGAGCTGAAAGTTCATTGAGATGGCACAAAAATTGCAGAACAAGATACAGGTCGAAAACAGATTAAGAAAAAAATGAACACTTTAAAAAACTAAAGGCTGAATTTACTTAACTGAATTATGTCAACTAGTTCAGTTGACAAAACTCAGTTAAGTAAATTCAACATTTCATTTTTAAAGTGAAGACCTCCCCCCAAAAAATTCTTTTTGCTCTATGCCCTTGGTTCCTAAAATATAGGCGTGTACGCACCAGTTATGCCCAGCCGGTACAGATGTGGATGCGGGTTGGCCCCTTTGCTGTGAGTTTCCCCGGGGACGTAATCACCGAGCCCTATGGTCGTGAGCGAAATGAAGCAGAAATACAGAGAGTCTAAAAAGTTCCAGTTCTCCTCCAGAGTCACAAAGATCCACGCAGGGATGAAGAGGAAGAGCACGGCCATGACGAGGCTGAGGCACGCGGCGTGAAGCACCGCCAGCCTGGACCTGGACATGGCCCACCGTCGGTGGAAGTACGAGATGGGGCGCCGGGTCACCAGGACCACCAGCCTCTCCACTGTGGCAGAGAGGAAGAAGAGGGTGATGGGGATCCCAATGAGGGAGTAGAAGATGCAGAACGCCTTCCCAAGATCAGAGAGCGGCACGGCGTGGCCGTAACCTGAAAACAAAGCAAAACRTGCAGAGATTTTAAGGTCCGATTCGGTTCGATTTTAACAAAACTCTCAGAAAGCAACAGGTTTTACATGTACAACTGATTAACGTCTACAGCAGTGGTTCCCAACCTTGGTCCTAAAGTACCCCTATCCAGCATGTTTTACTTGTTTCCCTGCTCTTCAGCAGGTCTTCAGAAGATTGTTTATCACTCATCCATTCAAACCAGGTGTGTCAAATCAGGGAAACATCTAAAAATCACTGCTTTAAATGTTGACCAACACCTCAAGAGCTTCTCTGAGCTTGATGAGACATTTTCAAAATATAATATTGACTCAGTTTTATATTTTTTTAAATTGCCTCTGGAAACCATTGATCCGTTGCCATTTATTAGTAAATAATAAATCAGATAACGTATTAAAGTAGTGATCCTCAACCCTCCTCGTGGACTCCTTTATGTTTCCCTGATTTGACACACCTGGTTCGAATGAATGAGTGATAAACAATCTTCTGAAGACCTGCTGAACAGCAGGGAAACCAGTAAAACAGGGGTGTCAAACTCCTGTCCTCGAGGGCCACTATCCTGCATGTTTTAGAGGTTTTCTTGCTCCAACACACCAGATTTTGATCGCTGGGTAATTAACAGGCTTCTGCCCAATTTGAAGAGTTAATTCAATCACTGAATCAGGTGTGTTGGAGCTGGAAAACCTCTAAAACATGCAGGATAGCGGCCCTCGAGGACTGGAGTTTGACACCCCTGCAAACATGCTGGATAGGGGCAATGGAGGACCAGGGTTGGGAACCACTGGTCTAGAGCAGTGTTTCCCAAAACTGGGGTCGGGACCCAAAGTGGGGTCCCGAAACATCAAGATGGGGTCCTGAAAATTTTTTCTGAATTAATTACATTTTTGCCTTAGTTGTTACAAAGGAGTGAGGTTAGTATATTTAAAATGGATAAATTTAGTATAAAAATATTGTTACTATGCTCATGTTTTGTTGACCTGATGCAAATGTTTATCATCCAAAAATGGCTTTGGGCACAGGTCTCTGCTACTGTTATTTTGTGGGTCAAAAGCTGAAAAGTTTGGGAACCACTGCACTTTGGTTCCCAAAGTTGGGCTTGGGACCCAATTATGGGTCATGAAGCACCTTGGATAATCTCCAGAAATCAATTTAAAGGGTAATAAAATAATTGCTAATGTAATATTTTCCCTATAACTATTACAAAAACCAAAAATCAGTATAAATAAATATTTATATTTGCGTATAAGCTGTTTAGATAGTCAAAAAGCCTGTGTTTTTAGGGTTATTAACAAAGTTCATGTACGCAGACCAGTAATATTTGGGGTCACAAGTTTTTGCCATGGATATTTTGTGGGYCAGAAGATAAAAAGTTTGGGAACCACTGGTCTAGAGGAAACTAAAATAAAGGTGACTGCTGCAGCTAATGAGTCTAAGCCAACATAAAAATGCCTAACTTAATTAATATTTACAGATATTGAGCTGAAACTTGGTAATATTTTTGTAAAAGTGAATGAAAATCAATATTTTCGAYGGTGTTATCATACATTGTTTATAAAAAGTGACATAAGCCTTTAGATACCAGGTAGAGCCTTTTTTTTTAGAACCTGGCAACCCAAAACCCAGTCTACTGAATTATTTAGATAACTTGTAAATAGGCCAAATGAAGTTTGAGACATTTCATTGACATTTAGCTTTTTACCAACAAAGGACATCAACTAGGAGGGGTTCTTTTAACTGTTCTCTTTGATATGATTATTTAATTTAATTTGTGCGTCAAAATGTAGAAACAAGAGGATTTAAAAAAAAGTTAAAAAGCTGCTGTCTACTTTAAAGTGTTTTATATTGACTATTTTCTCAGTGGATGTGGACACACCAGTTTTGAGACCCTATAAGATAAGTTCAAGTAATTATTTAAGACGTTTCATTTGAAGAAATGACTTTAAAACCTGCCCGGAACAGTTAAATGTCCAGTTTGAACACCTGCTGGAGCTCACCTGTCGTGGTCAGAACGGTGCTGGTGAAGAACAGCGAGGACACAAAGTCCCAGTTCCGGCTCGTCTCRTTACCGAGGACCGAGACTCCATAATTGCTGGCCTCCAGCGCGCGAGCCAGGAGCTCCTCCAGGCGCGCGTCCGACACGCAGGTGTTGTTGCCCAGGAAGTCCCGCCGAGCCTCCCTCAGCTCCCGACGCAGCTCGCCCTCGTAGGGCAGCTCGATGGCCGAGAAGATCCCGGCGCCCACGGCCAGGTAGAGGATATAAGCCAGGACCAGGAGGACGAAGTTAAGCCCCGACCCGTGCCGCTGCATGAAGCGCGCGCACCAGCCTCCCCCTGCGAACACCATCACACAAACACACAAAACTATAATGTTTCAGACACTCTCTCTATTCTTGGATGATCTCTTCCTCGTTCTCTCATTGGACGCTGCTCACGTGACGTAGCTCGCAGCCTACGCTCCTCGCCAGGTAGGAGTTACCTGAAGCCCGGGTCTTATTCTTTCCTTGAACCGGTCGAACCGGTCACGTCAGAAATTTTAATGTTTCTTTCTCAAGCTCATTAGAGCAGCTTTACTGGATTTACAGGTTGCATTAAACTATCACTCAAAACATTCCAACTAACAATGTTTAACTTTAAATTAAAATGATCTGCATTAAATTTCCTGAATCTAAATGAAATTAAGACAGAAGTCATCAGCTTTGGTGAAGACATTTATCCTGACAGTCTTGGTCCTTTGGCAGAGCCGGCTCTTGGCATAGGCGAACTAGGCGGTCGCATAGAGCGCCATCTGCTGGAGGGGGTGCCGAACTGCAGAAGAAAAAAGTAAATATTTGTAATCCCTGGTTGTTACCCTGCTCAGCGCCCCTTTCAATGAAATCTAAGTTTACCATAGTATGTGACACTGTCAAACTTGTTTTTAGGGGTTCAAATTGGGGTGGGAGGAGCATAGTTCGGGTGGGGGGTGGGGTTGCGCTTCAACTCAACTAGGGCACCAAAATGGCTAGAGAGCCAGCACTGTCCTTTGGCTTCATACAGCTGCTCTGCTGTCAGAAATTTGGGTTTCATTTTTGATAATGTGTTCAAATTGGACAGGCAGATAAACTCAGTGGTTAAATTGAGTTTTTTCCAACTAACACTTATTGCTAAGGTGAAKCCATTCCTCCCAAACAAAGACCTTGAGAAAGTGATTCATGCTCTCATTACATCTCATTTGGATTATTGTAATTCTTTGTATGTTGGTTTAGATAAACCTTCTCTGCATCGATTACAAGTTGTCCAAAATGCAGCAGCTCGTCTTTTAACAGGAACTAAAAAAAAAGAAAAAAAAAGAACACATGTCCCCGGTTCTGGCTTCTCTCCATTGGTTTCCTGTTTATTTTAGGATAAATTGTAAGATTTTATTGCTTACTTTTAAAGCTTTAAAAGGTCTGGCCCCATCCTACCTGTGTGATCTCATTAACGTCCACACTTCAGTTAGAGCACTTCRGTCATCCAACCAGTTCCTCTTAGATGTTCCTAGATCCAGGCTAAAGTTTAGAGGTGATCGGGCCTTTGCAGTCTCTGCACCAAAACCCTGGAATGATTTATGTCTTAGCATACGGACWGCTGAGACTGTTGTGACTTTTAAATCTCTGCTCAAAACTCACTTTTACTCCCTGGCCTTTCATTCTGGTAGAGTTTGAGATTCTTTTAAAGATAATGTTTTTAATGTTTTTGTGTATTTTAAATTGATTTTATTGTTTAGTACATTTATGTGTTGTCAATTGTTTTATTCATTTGGCTTAATTGTGAAGCACTTTGGCCAACTTCTGTTGTTTTTATGTGCTRTATAAATAAAATTGACATTGGCATTGAAATGCCCTCAGTTAGTTTTAGAAACCTTGCTTTTTAAAAAATCTGATTCAGCATAATTGATCTAATTTGTCCTTTTTTGTTTTAGCTGCTGTTCTGCCACTTTAGCTTTTAGGCTACTGCTAGTATTTTAGCTACCATATTGCAACTTTTAGCCAATAATTTTGCTTGCAGATATTCAGCTGTTTTAACCATTTAGCTTTTAGCTACAATTGTTATTTTAACTACTGCTCCTCAGTTTTAGCTTTTATTTAAATTCCTGCTACTCTTAGCTTTCAGCTAGTTACATGTTTTTGCCTACTGATCCCAATGATGCAGGCTATTTTTATTAGTCTGGCACTATCACGTGGGTTTTCCATGGTAGCGAGCAGCCATCTTGAACAGGGCGAGGGCTGTGCGCCATTCAGGAAAAGATTTGTTCTCACTGAATCCGAATTTGTGAAGGAGAAATAGCCTACCATCTACCATCTGCTAAAATTAAATAATGATGGGCTTGTCAGTCCTTTTAACCTGATTCTTTTGTTCAGAATTCTGAGATTAAAGTCAGAATTCTGACTTTTTTCCTACTTCAGAAAAGTTAGACAAACTTTATTTTCAGAATTCTTAGAAAAAAAAAAATTCAGGATTCTGGCTTTTTCCTAATCGCCCTGGAAAATGTGGGGAGTCATTTTCACAACTTAACAATTTGCGGTATTTGAAAGCATTTATAGCAATTGATGCATAATCTTTTATACAGCAGTTTGACTAATACTTGATCTCTTATTTACACTTTTTTTCTCTTGCTATCCGAGATTTCCTTATTCAGCTTGTGATGAATTTCTTGGATTAAAGTCTAATTTCCTCTATGACGAATTAATGATCCAAAAATTGGACAAAATGTGCTATTTATACGCAATTCTACTTGGAAATCCAACCGTTGACATTGACAGCTCGCCCCTCACAAGATGGCGTCATGCTCGTACCACAGTAAAGTGGGCATGTCGCCTCTATTCTCTGTATCTCATTCACTGATCTGCTTCTTTTAGCTATCCATTTTTACCTTTAGCTACATGTCCACTACTTTTAGCAGCAATTCTGCTACTTTTAGCTTTCAGCTACAGTTTTGATACTGTGATCTTTTAGTTACCACTTTACTCCTTTTTCAACTTTAAGCTACACTAGTGCTATTGCTTTGCTAATTTTGAGTTACAGCTCTGCTGATATTAGTTTTTGGCTTTTATTTTGTTGCTTTTGCCTTGTGTTCTGCTCATTTTAACCTCTCTTCTGTTTATTTCAGCTGTACTAAGTCAGTCTTTAGCTTCTTCAGCACATTTCAGCAGTCACAGTGCCACAAAGTGCATAAACTGTATTTTTAATTCATGACCATTTTTATCTTGACCACCAGATGGCGCAAAAGACCACATCTCCGCCTCAATGTGCATCAAAAACGTGGAGGGAGGAACAAAAGGGAAGCAAGTTGATTAAAAAAACGCCTTTTATTGATAAGTTACCACCAGACATCAGCTCAGCTCTCTCCATCATCATTTTCATCTCTCCTATATCTGGCCTCTCGCAATAAATAATTATTTACAACCTTTAGGAAGACACAAACGAAAAGCAACAAGGAGTGTCATTAGACACGGTGCCAGAGGAGTAATATACAGCGAATGAGAGCCTGGAATCAATACTGCTGCATAAAAAGCTGACAGGTAGAAGGACGACGGTCACTAATTGATAGTCTTGGCTGCATAAAAGGCCTGCGTCCAGTACACCTCATGTTGTATTAAAATCTTCTGAGTTTATTGTGGACCTCTGGCTGTTTGCTGTGGAGCATCCTGATCATCCCAAGAAAAAAAAACTTCAGTTATCTGTGAATCAAAAAGAAAGAAAAAAAAAAGCAGATCAATGACTTCAAAGCCACAACGATCAGAAACAGCAGCTGAGTGCACAGCATTGGTTTAATTTTTCCATTTTGTGTTTCACTCCTTCACTGCAAGAATAGACACTGTAGTCCTTTTTTACACCAACTAATTGATATGAGAGCATTTTATAAATAATCTCACATGTCTCAAAGGTAACACTTTAAAACCTTCAGTATTCAGTGGTAAGAACAGCTGTTTTGGTGTTGACACGTTACCTCTGCACTCGTATCGAAGGTCTGAGAAGATGACATGTTCCTGAGAGAAGACGAACAGTCCCAGTCGGCCTCCAGCCAGGGTGTGGTCATAAACCGCGCCTGAGTCGGAGAGAATGTCCCTGCCCTCGTACACAACCACCCTGCAGTGAGGAGCACCAACAGACAGGTTCAACAACCCAACTCAGACATTTTTAGGAAGCTTTAAACATATGGGCATATACAGTATACTCACACATTAACACAGGTTGAGAATTGCTATTTATTTGATTACTTATTTGATAGGAAATCACTTCAGAAATGTTAGACTATCCCTTTAAAATCATACATCATTTTACATGTATGTATGGGGTTCCAAGTGTAAAATAAAAAGTTTACAAAGTCACATTTTCATTATGTAGCTCACTTCCTGAGTGTAAAATCTGAGTAGAAAATAGATTTAAAGACCATCTTCAGCGGTATTAGCAGCAGTTGATGTTTGTCACAGGATGATGACATGGTTAACATTTCATATTCAAAATTTTCATTATATTTACACGTTTAGATTTAGGATTTAATATTCACATGCTTTTTTAACATTTAAATTTAACAATTTGTAACAATTATCAATAAATTGGAAGTCTGAATAAAATATTAGAAATCCAATTGATCTCTTCTATAAACTTTATTCTTAATCTGAGTCGTATCAGGCCCACAAGCAGCAGGACTCTGAGTGAGTGAAAAAGACCGTGGGCTTTATTAGAACCAAAATAATAAAAACCCAGCTGATCTAGGAGAGAAAACTGCACAATGATTAATGATGAATCAAGTTCTTAACATGGACATCTGACTTCCTAGTCACTCCCCTGGGGGCGGTGCCATATACGTTAAACATTAGACCAGTGGTTCCCAAACTTTTTGTCTTCTGACCCACAAAATATCCATGGCAAAAACTTGTGACCCCAAATATTACGGGTTGAGTACACGAATTTCGTTAATAACCTTAAAAACACAGGCGTTTTGACAATCTAAACAGCTTGTACACACATATAAATACTTATTTTTACTTATTTTGTGTTTTTGTAGTAATTATAGGAAAAAATATTCCATCAGCAATTATTTTATGACCCTTTAAGTTGATTTCTGGAGATTATCCAAGGTGCTTCATGACCCATAATTGGGTTCCAAGCCCAACTTTGGGAACCAAAGTGCAGTGGTTCCCAAACTTTTCAGCTTTTGACCCAYAAAATAACAGTATCAGAGACCTGTGCCCCCAACTATTTTTGGATGATAAACATTTGTGTCAGGTCAACAAAACATGGGCATAGTAACAATATTTTTATTTACTACATTTATCCATTTTAAATATACTAACCTCACTCCTTTGGAACAACTGGCCAAAATGTAATTATTTCAAAAAATCTTTTCAGGACCCCACCTTGAAGTTTCGGGATCCCACTTTGGGTCCCGACCCCAACTTTGGGAAACACTGCATTAGAACATAACCAACTTTGTTTATACAGACAGAAAGGCCACATRTTGATAAGACACACTGACTTCGTTCCTCTGTTTAAACCATACAGTATGGCTGCACAAAGTGTGAAATACAAGACTGCATCTAAAATTCAATCAGTCACAAAATTTCATTCAATTTAGTAAAAATTAGCAAAATGTAAGGACAGTGAGCTAAATAACAATAAAATGTTTGGGGAAATTTTTTAAACTAGGATTTTACACGCAGAATTGAGTGAGGTAAATAATGAAAATGTGTTTGCGACATATTTTAACATTTTATTTTACACTTGGTGTCCCGTGGATACGTGAGAACGGAAATATACAGTCAGAAGTGCCCTCGTCTACAGATTTATAGGTAAATGAGGTAAAACACAAGACCACAACATAAAAAGCTTTGGCTGTATATTCAACTATATAAAAAATGGTATTTCCAACAGTAATAAGGAAAATCTGTGGATCTCTGTTTTTTTTTAATCCTTAATGTTCTGTGACTTTCATGAGTTTAATCCAGCTGTGGTTTTATGACAGCATATCATGAAAATTTAAGTTCAGATTCCGTGCAGGAAAAGCAGCCAAGGAGGGAAATTATTTATGTCAACACGTCTGAACGTTCATTCATCAGCTGTCCCGTTTGGCATTAAGTATCCAGCGCTGAGCAAAAGTCTTGAGTCATCCCTCATTTTCTAATATTTTGCTTCCAAGGAGCCACTTTCTTCAGATTTCTAAAGTAATATGTTTTTCCAGGCTTTTTAAAGGTCTTGTAAGATTCTTTTATTTGAACAGTGGCTGCTTGTTTACTGATTTTCTGTTCAAGATTTGACTATTTTAAGGTCTGTTCTGTTAATGAAGTTACAGAAAGTATCCTAAACTCAAGCTATAAGTAGTGTTGCATTTTAGACCACAATCACCTTATGTTCAAACAACAACGTGATCTCACACAGTACCACAGAACGTCTCAGCTACCACATCAAATTTTAGCAGGGGTTATTTTTGTATTTGCTATAGGTTAGCTGTAATGGTCATTTTGAATTAAATTGACTCCAAAAGTTAACCAGTTGTAGATGCACATCCATTGATTATTTGATTAAGGTTTCATTATTTGTCCAGTCATTTATGAGATATTTTGCTAATAGCTCTCGCTGTACCTGATAAATCCAGTTTTGGGTCGGTGGATAAGATGCAAGCGGTACGCTGTGTAGTCCTTCCAGCCAATTTCATTCGGGTCATGCCACAAGGTTCTGACCTGAGACCGACACACAGAGTGGACAGAAGGTCTGGGGAATTATTTAATGTGAAAAGCAAAGAAACTGGGGGCAGTTTATCTTTTAAGATAAGACATTTTGTCCAAACAGGATGACAATAAAAGCAGTGGCTGTTCAGTCGCACCTGGTGTCTAGTGTTTCCGGTGTGCCACAGGGCGTTGCGGAGATACTCCCCCGGTCCGGTGCTGGAGTGGACCAGTTTGATGGAGAGGCCTGCAGTGGCAAAAGCCATGGATGGTCTTTTCTCCCAGTAAGCCTGGGACACCTGCTCACACAGAAGAACAAAACAAAGTCGATTTATCTGGTGAATATAGAGGAAGTGATGGTTAAAGGGGACATATCATACAAAATCCACTTTTTTTAGTCATTAAATGCATTTTGTTTGGGTCATATTTTTCAACCCATTTAGTTTTTTCTGTATTCGCTATGATGTTTTCTGAACTATTTAAATGTGAAAAAGAAGGATTTAAAAGCCCTATATGTCGCCTTTAAATAAAGCCTTTTTAACGTAAAGATTAGCTTAGGATCTAAAGTTTTATGAGCCAAAAAATAACAATAAAATTCAAATTTTAGTGGGGATGTTTTTTAAAGAATCCTCACCTGTTTCCACATGACAACATAGAAGCGTCGACTGGACTGATAGGCAAACACAATACCTACATAGTCATCGTCTCGGTTGGTGTTCACATAAAGAGTCACGCTGAAGTCTACAGAACTGAACTTGTCATATCCTGTGTCAACAATAAGATGATAGATTATTTTAAAAATAAAACTATAATATTCAGAATAACTTGCTTTTGAACTCACCTAAAGCAATTCCAGGGTCAGAGTTGGCTGTCTGCAGCAGCTCCCGCCCCTGACTGCGGATCACCCACAGGGGATCGGACTGCGTGGTGCCTTTAGGATCCAATAAAACGCCTTGAAACTTCCTGAAGTCCGTAGACCCGATGTCCTGGTTCAGAGGACAGGGATCCAGTGAGTCTGGAATGCTGTCGTTGTCAAAGTCGTCGAAGCATGCATCTCCACTGTCATCGCCTAGGAGTTAGGGGAATAAAGGGAGAGCGTGTAACTGGATCTTGTGAATTGTTTTCGAATGAAAGAAGGACTTGATGATAAGATCATGTAAATGTTTTGTCATAGAGTCATAGGCTGTGTCCAAATTCAGGGGCTGCGTCCTTTGAAGGACCCAACCTACCTGTTCTATGTGGGCCAGGTCCTTTGTGGACTGCAAAGAGGGGAGGAAAGTGACTGTGAATTTGGACAGTCTAGCCTTCAGCCTAAAGTCGGGTTTTCAGTGTTCTACCTTCATAAAATACTGGTTTTATTATTCCCAATAATTTAGTAAAATTGTTTTCAAATGGCTGGAAAATGCACAGTTTTGAGTGGATCTTTTACAAACTTTTATGGGAGAGAATACCTGTGGATCCCCCTACAACTGCTTCACTCCACACCTGCTTGTTGCGCCTCAATGTCAACAAATGTTGGCAGGTATGAGGATTGTACTATAACTGTTTTAATCAGACAACCTGGTTGCTTAAGTTAAAAACCCCAGCGTATGTCCTGACCTGACAACTGTGACGTGACTAAACGAAGATTAAGATTAATATAATTAATGTTATAAATTAACAAAATTAGCTTGGAGGAAACACCATTCGATCTCGTTTATAATGATTTCTGACCAGAATAATATTGGAAAACACGTCTACGCAAATGACAAAGACCTAACAACACAACCTCTTTAAACTTTCAATTTTTGTACCCACAGATTTTTATTTAAAACTGTACTCATATCTCTCACTTTGTCCACCATTACAACAAAAAATAAAAATCTCACGATCAGCCCGCAATGCATTTTGGGATAGGGTGGGCTGTGAAGGATACACAGAACCTGTTCCTCAAATCTGAGGTAAAGGAGGACACATTTGTGGGCCACTTAGAATTTGGACATTCTATCTGTGACGTAATTGGCCTTCAACTTTGCCTCCTCGAAGGACCCAGCCCCTGAATAAGGACACCGCCATAGTCTTTAAGCTGAGAGGCACAACAGTTCTAATAATGCAAGCAAATCCACTGGAAGAGCCAAGACTGACCATCTGAGTCCATCTGGTCCCTGTTGGGAACCAGTCTGCAGTTGTCCCGGTCATCAGGGACACCGTCATTGTCATCGTCGTGGTCACAAGCATCGCCTCTTCCATCCTTGTCATGGTCGGCCTGGTTGCTGTTGGCAATGTACGGACAGTTGTCCAGAGAGTTTTGGTGTCCGTCCTCGTCGATGTCCTCGTTGTCGTCGCACATGTCCCCCACCAGGTCGCTGTCAGAGTCGAGCTGCAGACACACACCACGTGCTGCGTATTTGTACATTGCTAAGTTATAGCTTTTGATGCTTATAGGAGCTTTGTGAGGTTTTTTTTAGGGAACCTGCAGTGGGTTGTGAAGGAGAGGACAGTTGTCACACTGGTCTCCAACACCATCCATGTCTGTGTCCCGCTGGTCAGTGTTGTACACAAGAGGACAGTTGTCGTACTCGTTCAGTTTCTCTAAAGGGAAAGAAGCAAACACACACACATGCACGATAGAAAAATCTGTTTTTTGTGTAGAACATATTACACAACAACAAATATWAATCAAAACAGTGTTTTGCTAACTCAACCCATATTTCAAGAGTCAGTAGATTCCATTTTGAACTCCTTTCTTACTTTATAATTTGATCCAGATTCCTGTCTGAAGTTTTTTTAAACACATTTAATTGTTTAGTTTGTTGGAAACAAACTGTGTTCTTTCCAAGCTGATTAACATAAATCTGTTTGTTAGCATAATTCCAACTGTCACTCTAAAATATTTTTAAAACAGCAAACTAAATAGCAAATAAAACTTTTATACCCATTGTTTCACTCAGTTGTTTGACATTAAAAGTTTCCTCTTACAAATTTCAAAATACAGAATAGTCCAAGTTATTTTAATAGTGCAATTAGGTGTGAAATATATTTGCTTTAATAACTGCAGTTCAAATGTTTAGCTCATACCGTCTCCATCAATGTCGATGCTGCAGGCGTCTCCTTCTCCGTTGTCATCGGTGTCTGTCTGCTGTGGGTTGCTGTCAAACGGACAGTTGTCACAGTGATCGCCAACCCCGTCCCTGTCCGAATCAAACTGCCGAGGGTTATACGTCAGCGGGCAGTTGTCCTGAGCAAAACAAACACATTCAGACTCGCTGCATCGCTTAGGAATGTGAAAATGATGAATGAGTTCACTGAAATTTGTTGAAGGATAAACAAACAGAACAAAAGGCAAAATGAGCAAAACAGTAGCTAAAAGCTAAAATCKGCAAAACTAGTTGTAAAGCTACAATTACCAAAACMGTTGCAACAATTTAAATGTAAGACAGTAGCTAGAACCTAAAGGGAGCAAAAAACGACAAAAAATGGAGCAAATACGCTAAAGTAGATTAAAAAAAACAGTGTAAACAGGGCCGGCTCTAGCCCATTTGGCGCCTTGGGCAGGATTTCACGTGGCACCGCCTTGTGCAATTTTCTAAATCTTAGTGCCAATGTACATACATTCACATAACAAAATAAATAATTTTGTCGTTAATACTGTATTGGTTTTTATCTTTAGAAACCATGTTGTCCAATTAAATGGTTAACAATATAATTTATTTGAAACAGATTACCAGAAGTTTACCTCATACCTGCCAACATTTACTGACATCAATGAGGAACACTTGTTCGTGTTAACTAACAGCTGTGGAGTGAAGCAGTACTAACGGGGGCCAGTGGTATACTTTAATAAAAATGTAAAAGATCTGCTCAAAATTCTGCATTTCNCTTGGGCAGGATTTCACGTGGCACCGCCTTGTGCAATTTTCTAAATCTTAGTGCCAATGTACATACATTCACATAACAAAATAAATAATTTTGTCTTTAATATTGGTTTTTATCTTTGGAAACCATGTTGTCCAATTAAATAGTTAACAATATAATTTATTTGAAACAGAATACCAGAAGTTTACATCATACATGCCAACATTTACTGACATCAATGAGGAACACTTGTTCATGTTAACTAACAGCTGTGGAGTGAAGCAGTACTAACGGGGGCCAGGGGTATACTTTAAAAAAATGTAAAAGATCTGCTCAAAATTCTGCATTTCCCACCATTTGAAGAACATTTGACTAAATTCTTGGGATTAATAAAACAACATAAAATCACTATTTTATGAAGGCAGAACACACAGAAAAAGTTACCTTCATAAACCAGAGGACCCAGTGATTGTTCTACACAATAAATCAAATCTATGCTGATAAAAAGTTATAAAAAAATTTTGTTCCACATTTGTGGTGCCCCCTACATGGATAGCACCCGTAGCATTTGCCTATACTGCCTATGAATGCAACTCATTGTATTTCTATAAGGATTTTTTATTTGTAAATCAAGTTAAATAATTCATAACATATACAGAATACATATGTTGGAGTCAACACACTACCACTTATTCAGCTGAATGCTATAAATAATTTAAATGTCAAAGTACAATTCAGCATTCACATTTAATCTCACCCTCTCATCTATAATGTTGTCATTGTCATCATCAGGATCACAGGCGTCCCCCTGCCCATCCTTGTCCAAGTCTTCCTGTCCAGAGTTTGGCACTTTGGGGCAGTTATCCTGCAGCCAATCATAACACAGCTTCATTCAGTCCCATCCAGTGTGAACAAGGTTCAGAATGCTGATAGATTTGGGTTTTTTTTTTTTTCACCTTCTCACAGTGATATGTGGCATTCTGCATGCATGGCAACGCTGTACTGGGCCAGCCGTCCAGGTCAGGGTCCTCACCACACAGGAAGCCATCGCCAGCAAACCCAACGATACACACACACTTATACAACACCTCAGAAGCCAGGCCAAGGTATACACACTCCGCATACTGGTGGCAGGTGTGTGTGTTGTCTTTGCAAGGATTGTGTGGCTCACACACCTACGACCAGAACATTTCTTTGAGAAYATAGCATTGTTGTTTAAAGCTCGGTGAAATATGTGGAAAGAGGAAAACGCCTGCCTGTCTAGTTTTCGAGGCTTCCTGTAGTCCGATGCCGAACAACTGTGTGCCTTTGTAGCGAGGAGGGCAGGGCAGACAATAGAATCCAGGATCTGTGTTTACACACTTTGTAAAACACAACCCCTCCACTTCACACTGAAGATATGGAGAACAAGGCACAGTGAGCACATCAAATACAGGAAATGTTTGTTGCTTAGTAGAGCTATGCTCACAGTCACTGTTATATATAAAAAGCCCTTCGTTCTTTGAAGAAACGCAGATGTTCTGCACCCTTTTTCTGCCAGTTTTAAACCAAGATTATTTTATGTTAAGGAACCTTGAAAATAAAACTATGTAATCTCATGCAACATTTCATGTGATCTGTTAGTGCTTGGGTTTGCCTCATTTGTCTCTACGTGGCCCTGTGATGGACTTGCACCCTGCCCTTCTCACAGCGACTCCTGCACACGGGCACCAGTGTCCCCCCGTGACTATGAAAGGAAGTAGTGGGTAAAGCTAATGGATGATTAGTACTTGGAGTGTGTTGTGATCGACTGCCCCACCAAATTTGAGCTCATTAAAATATTGGGAAATATTCTACATTTTTTATCACACAGCAGGAGAAGACGATAAAAGGATAGTTAAGCTTTACTTAGATCTGTATTTGTAGTTGGCTTTGATTATTGGACACAATTCTGGGTAAAGGTTCTAAAAAAACAACATTTCAAGAAAGACAGAAAAATATTTTCGAAGATTTAGCAGAACTTAGATGCAGTGGACTAGTGCATACTGGCCAAATATGAATTTACTTTTGGAATTTACTTTATTAAATTACGTAGTTGACTTTTGTGAGAAATGAAAAAAAGAAAACTAACAGTGGTGCTTGCAGCCTCTAACCGTATTGACAAGGATTATTTTACTTTAACAAATTTTTGACATGTTGAAGGTTAAACAAGAACGGCCTTTCCAACGGGAAAATGACATACCTCAAAAACCACAATACACCCTTTTATGGAAAGTAAAAGGTTTTCTTGCCRCTGTCAACGTCTCCTGTTCTAAACATCTGTACAGTCCAGACCTCTAAAGAGTAAAACACCCAAGGCAGCCAAGAAATGAAAGATTCTTGTCTGCAGCTTAGCAGACAGGGATGTTAGTCAGCGAGGACCATGCGTGGCACCAAAAATTWGTTTCAGACCCTTCTGTTTCCTTTTATTTCATTTGTTTGTTAGATGTAAGTAGACGTCATAAAAGTAAATTTGATCCCCTCTGGCCCTCTCACCTCATTTTCGTCTTCGCAGTGTGTGCCGTTCCCTTTCAAACCCAAAGGGCAGCGTCCACATTCCCACGATCCGTCGCTTCTCGATGTGCATTCTACGCCGGGAAAACACGGACTTGAAAGCAAACACATATCTGAAAAACAAAAGCTTTAAGGTTCGACAACGACACAAAACCAGCACAGACTGGGTCAGTGGAGCCTACATTTCTTTTCATGGGTTTTAATTATTTCCCTCTTATGTCTTAAGCCTCATTAACTGAATAAACACTACAGGATTGAATGTAATCCAGCATTGTTTAAAAATATGTTTCCCCAAATAAAAGAAGGATTTATTCATGGATTTGAGGATTAGTTTATTATAGGAGGTTTTCCTTTAAAGTGAAGATGATCATACAGGAAGTGTTTGATTTACCAACGGGACACGGCTCTTTGTTACACGCTTCGTAGTCCGCAGCTTCACCGGCGCAAGGTTTGCCGCCATTCTGAGGGGCGGGACTCGAACACTCCCGCTGGCGGCTTATGAGGCCCCCACCACATGTCGCAGAGCATTGTGACCACGTGCTCCAGGCCGTCCACCTTCCTGCAACTGCACACAAAGACACAACACTGTACCTATAAAGAGATGTGGTGACAGTGTAGATTAGTACTTACTGGGGCAGATTGTGTTGTTGCACGGTCGCGTCTCCCCGGCGCTGCCTGGGCACGCCCTGCCCCCCTTCTGTGGCGGAGGGTTGTTGCACAGACGGACACGTGTATTGTAACCTTCTCCGCACGTGGTTGTGCACGAAGACCATGGAGACCAAAGACCCCAGCTCCCGTCAACACGAGCTAGATTTGAAACGAGTGCACGGACATTTTAAACGTTTGTTAGCTTGAAATAACACGGACTGCTGAAACTGCTTTAGTCTAACGCCGCACATTGTTGGAAAAGCATGCAATTGGTTTGTGATTGTTGAATATTGTGATGATGACTACCACACCTGGGGGGTACCAGAAGCTCAAAACAAGTGTCAATAACAACAGCAAAATAAATTATTTGGCAATGGCAGAGAAGATTTGGCAAATTTTTCATGTGCGCAACCCACATACTCAGCTCTACTGCTCAATGTAGGGGTCACCCCGAGGGGGAATAAACATTTCCACTTGTCTTTGACCTTAGAAGAACTCCGTCAAAAGAGACATTTTATTTTCTTTAATCAAGATAACAAACAAAATAATAATCTTCTTCATAATTTTGATTTATATTTTCTTTTAACTAAAAGTTATCATTTTACAAATCAAAGTTACATGAAATGAATGACTATCTTCTTGGTGTATTTGAGACCTATCTCAAATACTTCTTGCCTTTGATTTATAAAATGAGAATAACTAATGGTATTATTACTGTTATTATAATATATTATACATATTATCATAAAATATTATTAGTATAACTAATAACACATGCACCAAAGGGGACATATCACGCAAAATCCACTTTTTTATGTCCAKACTTTTCCAGTTCTGCATAGATATTTTTATATTCTGTTTGGGTCATRATTCATTCAGTTTTCTCTATTTTCTATGACATYTTCTGAACTAGTACGTCAAATTAATTGTGAAGAAACTGCCAAATAAGGTCTGGACTTACGAACTAAAAATGAACTATAAGAGAATAAAGGCAATATTATTCTCCTCTGGCTCTGGGTCAGACTCTGGCTCCAACATGTAAGGCTGGATGGATAAGTCTTCCCTTGTTGACGTCTTTGATTTGTATATAAAACGTTTCTGTGCAGCTGTATTTAATCGTAAACCCCTGGATCAAGCTACAGTGGAGCGGTTTGGAATCTGGAGGGGACTGGTGTGTAAAGCTCCTTGTTTGGATTTAAAGAGGCAGCCTCAAAATGAGTTGATCTGAGACACACCTCAGATAAGGAGTGAAAGAGGGACCTATGGAGTTACAATAGGGAGGAATTCAGACTGAAGCATTGCAGTGCAACTTAAACCCCAACGGAATGGTTTAAATGGGACAAATAAAGGGTTTAAAAGCAGGATATGTCTCCTTTAAAAGGGAATTGGAAACTCTTTCCAGCGGTATAAGATTTATTGCAAAGAAGCATCGTTACAAATAAGAAATAACCTACCAAACACAAATTTCCTTAGTTTTTCTGCCAAGTACATTTGACATAACATCCACCCTAAATTCTATCGTTTCTGCTAACTTTCATTCTTCTTCGCTCCATACCATTCCTTCACCTCTTCAGGCTCTCTTCCACCTGCTCCCTCACTATAGCTCACACTGTCTAATGGGACTACAAGCACTTTGAGGTGTATTTGAGACCTATTTTGGTTTTACCAGTTGCAAGAACTCCATTAAAACCAAACCGTTGAGACCACTTGTCTTACTCTTGCGGTCACACTTGGTCAGAGTGCAGCTGCGTGTTTGAAGTGAGGGCCCGGCGCAGGGCGTGATGCCGTTGCAGGACCGGCCCCGTTGTTGCCCACCACGTCCACAGGTCGCGGAGCAGTGGGTCCACTCAGTCCACGGGGACCAGCCGTCCTCGTTGTCTTCAAACACAGACACAAAGTATCCAGGTTTAAGGTTTGCATTCATGAAATGTGTTGGCCCGACTCTCTGAACTCTAAATCTCACTCACCGAGACAAACAAGACAGCATTTTCTGTCGACAAAGACCGGATTGATGCAGGACACCGGGGGACACAGCGCCTGCTGACACACAGCCTTCCCATCCTGGAGAAGACAGGGCCCGTGTGATAAATTTAAATTGTGACGAAAATATAGCGTTATTTGAGCCAGATGTTTCGATTCKTGCCAGAGGAATGCTACACTGTCAGGAATAAAGTCTGGCTGCTTCCCGAACGCATTCTTKACTAAACTTAATGATGTTTTCTAAAGAGAAACAGACTCAAGGATTAGACTGAAGTACGAAAAAACATACAGAGGGAGACTCTGGAAATAAATCAAACCACATTGGAAATGTGAAACTTCCCTGGTGAACAGAACTGGAAGGGATGTTTTGACATTTTGGACAAGAGGCTCATCTGGTTTCTACCTGAGAGTCCAGCAAGAAAATTACCATCACTCTCATGTCCAATCGTAAGAAAGACGTCAAGTCTTTTAACTGAATTAATCATTCTCTGCGATATTCCATTCAGTGGGAGGTCTGCATGTATGTCTTAGGTTGTCCTGTTGTAATGATATGAAGCTCTGACCTGACAGGAGCAGGAGGTGCAGCTGTCCGTCTCCCAGACGTCTCCCTGCTCGTACACTCGTCCGTCCTGCACACACCACACCTCCCCGTCTCTGTCTCTGTCAAGACCGTTGTCCTCCCCGTCTCTGTTAGGATTGTTGTCCTCCCCGTCTCTGTTAGGATTGTTGTCCTCCCCGTCTCTGTCAGGATTGTTGTCCTCCCCATCGCCGTCTCTCTCAAAATGGTTGTCCACCTGGTCTGTGTCTCTGTCAGAATGGTTGTCCTCTTCCTTTCCATTGCTTTTGCTTCTGCCGTTGCTGCTACTGCTGATGCTACTTCTGCTGCTGCTGCTGCTGCTGCTGCTGCTCAGCTCAACCAAAGATATCCGCATCTCCTCATTTTCTTTTGACTGACAAGAATAATAAAACATTCAAGAACACTGTCAGGGAATAAAATCCAACATTCTGTTATTTCACACAAGTTTTACTGTGGAAGTATGTCACACAGACACCGATTTGCTAATTATTTTCCCTCCAAACTAGCCTTCTGTAAGATTTACTGCAAACCTCTGTGCCTCCTGCCAGAAAATGATGACATTTTAATTATTTGTTCTGGAAAAAAAGCTGCTTCCTGCTGCTTTTGACATAAAATTCCCTAAATGATAAAATAAAAAGTTGTGTTGAAATGATCTTAAAAGTGACATTCAAACCACAAGAAGGAATTAATTAATAAAAATGTTCCTGAGCTGTCAACTCATTCTGACTTTTAAATTTTTTTAAATAATTTTTAGCCTCCTTTTTCCTTTTATACCAGACCAAATCATGCAAAATCTTTTAAATATTATTACAGTTTCAGTTAAAACAATACATCAGTTTGTACAGAGGAAGCTTTAAAGTCATATTTCGATCATCACTTTTTGAACTTGTGATGCGATTTTTTTCTTCCCTTTTTGACATTCACCCGATTGATGGAGAAAATAATCAAYTAAATACTTTGCTGTGATAAAATGAGGGGAAAATAGTTGCAGCTGGAAACAATTTTTCCAAAAACAAGGTCAAAATCATAAAAAGTGACAAGACTGTAAGTTTGTATGAAACAGATGAAACATTACTTTTTTCACTTTTACAGCGTTAAAC